ATTCCGGGGCAACACGTGCAGCCAGCCCATCTGCCCACTGACCAGCTGGGGAAACTGAGGCCTTAAGGAGCTGGAAATCGAGTCTGAGTGCTGGCCCCGCCTCCGGCTCCCCGAGTTCCCACCCGTGAGGGGTCAGGACGCTTACCTGGCCGCGGTGTGGTTCCAGTTGCGCCCCCTTTCCTCCAGCTTCTCGGCTCTCACCTGGGCCCGCACGCCTAAGGCCCCGCCCCCGAGAGGCCGCACCGCCACGAGGCCACGCCCATCGACGCCCGGCCCCTGGAGGCCCCGCCCACCGACGCCCTGCCCCCGGGAGGCCACGCCCAGTTGACGCCCGGCCACACGAGGCCCCGCCCACGCGACTCCACGCCCCCGTGAGGCCCCGCCCACCGCACCACTCCTGGCAGCACCGGCGGCCCGCAGCGCCCCCTGTCGGCGGGAAGGCGCGCCCCTCGGCTCACTGTTCAGTTTCTTTTCTTGTTCCTTTAACTTTCCCTTTCCTGCTCAGTCACTCCCCTCCCGTCCCCTTCTCTCTCATTTCCTTTATCTTTCATTTTTTCAATCGGGCATTCCTTCTTTCATTTTTCTTTCATGCAACAAGTATTGGGTGCCAGAAACCGCTCAGACGCTGGGGGCAAGGCAAAGGCCACATTTCTGGGCCCAGCAGCTTCAGTTCTTCTAGTGGACGAACTTTTTTTTATTTCACCCCCTCCCACAGTTGCAGTCCATGTTAGATCACGTATATACACGTAGAAACACACACACACATGACTCTGAAACTCGAGTTTCACAAAACGATGCCTCCCTGCACCAGTGACGGCGAACCTATGACACGCGTGTCAGAGGTGACACGCGAATTCATTTTTTTTTTTGGCTGATTTTTCTTTGTTAAATGGCATTTAAATATATAAAATAAATACCAGAAATATAAGACTTTGTTTTACTATGGTTGCAAATGTCAAAAAATTTCTATATGTGACACGGCACCAGAGTTAAGTTAGGGTTTTCCAAAATGCTGACACGCCGAGCTCAGAAGGTTCGCCATCACTGCAGGCTGTCAGCTCCTCCAGCCCGCGGGCAGCCTGTGGCCCAGCAAAGCTCGCTTGGGGAGACTTGCAGCGGGTGGAGGGCGCCACCTGGTCAGCAGGGGGGTGGGGGGGGCAGGAAGGGAGACATGCAGGCACGTGGAATCCGACCCACGGGCTTGGCTTTCTTGTCTTGCACAGATTTGTGTTAGGAGTGGCGCTGCTTTGGTTATAAGCGATCTGACTCCAGTTGACTTGCAAGGGGGATTTGCATGGAAAAGGGAAGGTTTCTGCCCTGGCTGGAGGGGCTCAGTGGGTAGATCGTTGGCCTGCGGACTGAAGGGTCTCGGGTTCGATTCCGGTCAAGGGTACGTGCCCGGGTTACGGGCTCGATCCCCAGTAGGGGGCATGCAGGAGGCAGCCAGTCTCATCATTGATGTTTCTATCTCTACCCCTTTCCCTTCCTCTCTGAAATCAATAATTTTTTTTTTTTTAAAGAAAGAAAAGGGAAAGTTTCTTTTTTCTTTTTTTCTGAAAAGGGAAGGTTTCGAACAGAAGTGCTCCTTGTGCTCTGACAGTCAGGACTGGCCTTGCGAATGAGGGTGGATGGTAAACATGTCTACAAATTATATGAACTAAATCCGCTCCTCCTGGCTCTTGGTGAAAATGTATTGGAAGTATGTAATAAGGTGAAAGGCTTTGTCATTTTTCAAAATGTATTGGGAAAGATGCATTGAATTACCAACATGACAATTTCCCCGATTGTTTCCGAGGGTATTGGGTTAAAGGAATTTTCCCTTAATGAAGGAGCACCAGGTCAAATTAGTTCTCATTTGATCAGTCTTCATAAAGCCTTTTTGATATATTTTTCAGAAACTGCAAAGGTGAGAGGGTCTCAGGACCGAGTCAGAATCCTTTTACAAAAGAGGACATTTCCACAGTTCGGAGGAGGACCGGATCCAGTGAGAGACCAATATTTTTAACGAGAGGTCAGTATACACATTTTTAAACTTAAAAAATTTCAATATATTTCTTCTTTATATATATATCCTTTATATATATAAAATAAATCTATATATAAATTTATATATATACATATATACGAGAGAGAGATAGAAACGATGATGAGAGAGAATCATGGATCAGCTGCCTCCTGCACGCCCCCCACTGGGGATCGAGCCCACAACCCTGGCATGTGCCCTGACCCGGAAACAAACCATGACCTCCTGGTTTATAGGTTGACGCTCAACCACTGAGCCACGCCGGCCGGATAATTTTTTATTTAACTCTTGGTAAGATAGACATCACATGACATTAACCATCTTGGCCATTTTCACACTGTGGTGCAACCCCCACCCCCACCCACCTCCAGGACGCTTCACTTTGCCAAACCGAAACTCTGCCCCGGTTACACAATGACTCCGCAGCCCCCACCGGGGCCCGGACAACCTCTGTCCCACTTTCCGTTTCTCTGAGCCGACTTCTCTAGGTACCTGGTGGACGCGGCGTCGCGCAGTCCTTTTCCTTTTACGGTTGGCTTATTTCATTGAGCATAAAGTCCTCAAGGTCCATCCATGTCGCAGCACGTGTCAGAATTTCCTTCCTTTTTCAGGCTGAGTCATATCCCGTGGTGGGTATTGACAGATATCACACTTTTTAAAATATATATATATATATATATATATATATATATATATATTATTGATTTATTACAGAGAGGAAGGGAGAGAGATAGAGAGTTAGAAACATCGATGAGAGAGAAACATCAATCAGCCGCCTCCTGCACATCTCCTACTGGGGATATGCCCGCAACCCAGGTACATGCCCTTGACCGGAATCGAACCTGGGACCTTTCAGTCCGAAGGCCGACGCTCTATCCACTGAGCCACACCGGTTACGGCCAGATATCACACTTTATCCATCAACGACATCTGGATTGCTTCCAGCGTTAGGCCCTCGTGGGCAGTGCTGCAATGAACACGGGTGTGTAACTCTGTCTTCCAGAGCCTGACTTTGATTCTTCGGGTGGAGAGCCGGGAGTGGGACTGCGGACCGGGTGAGAACTCCGCAGTGTGCTTAATTTCGTGAGGAACTGGGATGCTTTCTCCCACAGCGGCCGCACCTTTCCCCGAGCAACGCATGGGTGCTCCGCTTTCTCTACGACCTTATCTGACCACTGGGCTTTGTCCTTTCTTCTGTTGAGATAATAGATTCATTCATCCATTGGCTTGGTACCAAGCCAACTCTGCATCCTGTCCTATGGCAGATTTCTCACTGGCCCCTCTCTAAGCACGGCTGGGTGCCCAGTGGAACCGTGAGGAATAAGACCTGGAGATGGAGGAGGGGAAGCCTGAGCAAGAAGGCAGGGCGATATGCTACTTGGGGCTTAAATCCAGGCCCTGACAATAATTGCAAGGTCTGGGCAAACTCATTTTTATTTTTCTCAGTTGTCCAGTGAGCCTACTGATACCTAGCTTGGTGGCTTTCCAACTTTGAAGCTGTGGTTGGTTTGTTTGCTTGTTTTATTGGAACCCTCAGTTAAGTATATGCTTTATTTTAGGGTCGGAACCCAGCAGGCATGCACACGCAACCAAAAGAAAAGCTCATGAAACAATACTTATGCCGCCTTTCCTCGAGGCGGATCGTTTTTATTTTACTTTCTTTCCTTGCAAACGAAATAACAGTCCTGGCTCGGGAGGTGGATTTCATGACTCTCTCAGGGGTTTTGACCCAAAGTTTAAAAATGATCTCCTCGGACAGCTCAGTGGGGTGATGGATGGAAAGGGTTTGGTCCAGAGGGAGGCACCCTCAATGGAAACTTCCCAACATGCTGCGTGGACCCTTCTGGGCCTCATCTTTGCAGGGCTGGTTTCTTCTCATCCATTGGGATTCTCAACTCAAATGCCCCACCCCCCTGAGCACTGGCCCCTGCTACCCTCCTTTATCTCACTGTATCCTATTACCCTTACCTCCCTGGTAGAACTACCAGCCTTATCTGAAACTAATTACTTGGTGGAGTGTTTATGGCCTGGTGTAACCCTCCCACTTCGAGGACAGGGATCTTGTCTGTCTCGCTCATATCCCTGATCCAGTGCCTGGCAGCATCATGCAATCAATAGTTCTAGAATGAATGAATGACCACGAGGAAATGGGCAGGAGAGCATTTTAAAAAATATATTTATATTGATATTGATTTCAGAGGGGAAGGGAGAGGGAGAGAGAGAAACATCAATGATGAGAATCATGGATCCGTGGCCTCCTGCAGGCCCCACACTGGGGATGGAGCCTACAACCCGGCCATGTGCCCTGACCAGGATCGAACCCTGACCTCCTGGTTCATAGGTCACCGCTCAGACTTGGGAGCCACATCCCATCCGGACACACGGGCCAGGCAAACAGGAGAGCTTTTGAATCAAATATAAATGTAGTCGAGTTGCACAGATTTTTTTTTTAGAGTTTTAGGTATTGGGGTGCTTTGTTTGCCTCCTTTGTGATTTATGAAAGTGATCGTGAGAAAAAAGTAATCAAAGGAGAAATGTTTGCTTACGGGGTTCGCTATCTAGGAAAGAGGTACTATCTCCATTATTTGGGGTTCTAGTTAGTTCTGTACCTATTTCCGCATGCGTCCTAGAGGGAGGGCAAGCTCGTTGATTTCTGATGCCCTTGTCAACGACCGGAACACTGCCTGGAAGGTAGTGGGCGCTCAATAAATATTTCAGGAATGAAAGAATCAAGCTGCAAACTAGAAAGGAAGAACCTAAGAACCGGCTGGGTCAGGCTGCAGTTCCTCCCCGGGGCAGGAGGAGGCGCTAGCGTCACACCAGCCCGGACGCCGGCCGTTCTTGGCCCCTCCGGCTGACCGTCCAACCCCGGGCCCCGAGGCCAGGGCGGAAGTTAGCCAATAGGAAGCCGTCTTGGTTGTGAGGTGGGACAGAGCTGCCCTATGAGCGCAGCGGGTCTAGGTAAGGGGCGGAGCGACGAGGAGGGGCCGGGGGAGCGGTTAGACGTGGGAGTCGGTGTTGCGGGCCGGGCGGGGCCGCGGAGCTGCGATGCGGGCGGGAGCGCGTCCGTGACCGGAGCTGCCGGCCGACATGAACTCGCTGGAGCAGGCGGAAGGTATGGGCCGCCCGGACGCGGCCCGGGCTCGCCCCGGAAGCCGGCGGGGCTCCGGAGGGGCTGTAGCCGCGGGGACCCCGCCCCGGGGAGAGGAGACCGCGTGGGGTGGCCGGACGCGGCCCGGAGCACAGGGGGCGCGAGGGCCCGACCTGGGGGCCGAGGGGCTGCGGGACCCGGACGGACGCGGGGGGCGCGCGCGGCCGCTGGGGGGCGTTGCGGCCGCTGCCCCCGGGCCGGGTTTCCACCCGAGCCCCCGTGCGGGGCTGTTTGTAATTCATTGGTGGACGTTCGCACTTCCGTTTGCGAGTGCACTCGCTTTATTCCGATCGGCCCGGGAGGTGTAGCCCTCGGCCCTTGATTTCGAAAACCCCCTGGGTTGTACCCCTCGTTCCTTTACCTGCATTTGACTCTGAAAACCCCGTGAGTTGGAACCCTCACTCCTTCATCTTTATTTTGGAAACCCCGTGGGTTGTACCCCTCATTCCTTTTACCTGCATTTGACTCCGAAAACCCCGTGAGTTTGGACCCCCAATTCCTGCCGTGGTTTCTGGTAACTGCCGGGGTCAGGGGTTGCCTCTCGGTTTCCTTTTTAAAAAGTTTAAGAAGCGCGATCGTGGGAGCGACACCTCCCCCCACCTCCCACCTCCCACCCTGCTCATTCGCGGGGGCACCTTGGACGCCCCCCGGCTCGAGAGGGCGTCCGGGCGTCGGGGGAGCCGAGGTCCCCTCTCCCCGCGCTCGGAGGGGGCGAGGGCGGGAGCGGAGGGGGCTGCCTGCGCCCTCGGTGGTTTCCGATGCCCTTGTCCGCGACCCGGACGCCGCCTGTAGGTAGCGGGCGCCCCGTCAGTACTGAGCCCCGTTAGCGGGTTCCAAGTCGCAGAGGCTTGGCCGTTGGTTAGACGGCGGGGCGAGCCCTCGGGATCGGGTGTCCGCGTCCCCGGAGGCGGGGGAGACCTGGGTGCGGGGGGGGGGGGGGGCGAGGTCCCTCCGTCTGATGGAAGTCCGCGGCTCCAGCAGAACCAGAACTCCACCGGGTTTTGACGCTTCCATGTGCACCCCCCAAGCTCCTAGCCTCTGACCCCGCTGGAGGCTGCCGCTGCCCCACATACCATTTCCCGAAGCTTCTGAGCGTGAACCAGCCAGTGCCCTTAGGTGTGACATTGCAGCTAAGGAGACGGGATGTGTTGGCAGGCGCTTAAAGCCGCGGTAGGAAAGGGGGCAGGCGGTGCGGCCATGCCTGTGAGTTGGGGTGCAGCGTCCATCCCTCATCTCCCGGGACCCGCACCAGCAGGAGGAGCTAACGGGGACGGCGATCTTTCTGCCTAGATCTCAAGGCTTTCGAGAGGCGACTCACGGAATACATTCATTGCTTGCAACCTGCCACTGGGCGCTGGAGAAGTAAGTGCCGGATGCTTTTGTTTTTTAAAGGGGAAATGGACTGACAGTGGATACTTTTCTCCCTGCCTCGCAATGATCTACTTTTATGTAAAGCTTGAATAACAAAAACACTGGCTTTACTGAACCATAGATGTTTCCTTTTGTTTCCACAGTTTCTAAATGTCTTCAGCATCGTAAACAATGCACTGTAAAGAAATTTTTAAGAAAGGGAACTGGCCATCCCGAAGAATAAATAATCTTTTTTTTTTTTAACATTTAAAAAATATATTTTTATTGATTTCAGAGAGGAAAGGAGAGGGAGAGAGGGATGGGAGAGAATCGTTGATTGGCTGCCTCCTGCATGCCCCCTATTGGGGATTGAGCCTGAAACTGGGGCATATGCCCTGACCCCGCATCCAACCGTGACCTCTTGGTTCATAGGTCAACACTCAACAATTAAGCCACACCACCCAGGCTGAAGAACAATCCTTGTGGTTGAATTTTGATTTTCCCATTAAAATAGACATTTTTTTATTGAACAAATAGTACAAATTTTTATTTTTTATTTTTTTTTATTTATTTATTTTTTTAATTTTTTTTTTTTAATATATTTTATTGATTTTTCACAGAGAGGAAGGGAGAGAGATAGAGAGTTAGAAACATCGATGAGAGAGAAACATCGATCAGCTGCCTCCTGCACATCTCCCACTGGGGATGTGCCCGCAACCCAGGTACATGCCCTTGACCGGAATCGAACCTGGGACCCTTCAGTCCGCAGGCTGACGCTCCATCCACTGAGCCAAACCGGTCTCGGCAAATAGTACAAATTTGATAGACAACACATATGATAAAATTTTCAGTAGCCTGTTTAGCAGTTTTACAATTTACCTGCAAATGATTGGAATAAAGTTTTGTTAAGGAAAAAAATATTTATCATATAGAGAGTGGGGCAAAATAGGTTTACAGTTGTGAATGCAAAACAGTTTATTCTTGTATTATTTTTTCACTAGAGGCCTGGTGCACAAAATTCATGCACCAGGCCTGCGCCCTCAGCCCAGCCTGCGCCCTCAGCCCGGCCTGCGCCCTCTCGCAGTCTGGGACCCCTTGGGGGATGTCTGCCTGCCCTTTTTCTTCTGACTACTTTTAAGATGTTCTCTGCTTTGTTATTTTTTGTAGTTTCCCTCTAATGTACCCAGGTATTTTCTTTATCCTCGCAGTCCAAGACCCTTCAGGGGATGTCCGATTGCCGGCTTAGGACATCCCTGCCGGCAGTTGGACATCCCTCTTGCAGTCCGGGAGCCCTGGCTCCTTACTGCCCACCGGCTAGCTGCTCCTTAGATGTTCCCACTACTGGCTGAGCAGCGCTCCCCCTGTGGGAGCACACTGACTACCAGGGGGCAGCTCCTACGTTGAGCGTCTGCCCCCTAGTGGTCAATGTGCATCATAGCAACCAGTTGTTCTGGTTCTGGTTCTGGTTGTTCCGCCATAACGGTTGCTCAGGGTTTTATTATGTAGATTATTTTCCATAAGAACAACTGTAAACCTACTTTTGCCCCACTCTGTACTTGCGAAGGTTATGAAATTTGTTGGTTTTGACAGCATGATTATGCTGCTAAGAGCCTCACCTAGAAAAAGTTTTCACTGTCTATTCACAAATATCATGAATATTGCAAAGTATGATTAGAAAGAATTGAGGTTACTGCCCAGGGGAAACATAACACATACAGGCAAATGTACAAATGACGCCGTCGGCAAACAGAATGCTTTGCTGACTTACGTTGGGACCAGTCTTCATTTCTTGGAGGTTTATTGTTGAACCTGATTCCTGCCAAGACAGAAGCACAGCACCCATCAGGGACGTGCTGGGCTTCGAGTGTCACTCAGTGGTGGGGCCAAAAGTAGAGAAGGTACAGGTCTCTCGGGTCAAGATTTCTCATGTAGTTTTTATTACATCTGTTTGCAAAGTTTTAGTCCTATGCCCTGAGAATTCTCATTGGTCAGAATTCACAAGTAGTGATTTTTTCCGCTTCTCTGGTTTACTTAGAAATACCTCCAAAACCTTGTTTCACTGCTACTTGAGAATCTTTTAAAATATGTGTGATGCTGCCCTCGCTTATAAAATGCAACCCAGTGACCATGCTTCACCGCTCCTGGTTGTGGTCTCAGTGCTTACCTGTAGGTGACAGCGTGGTTAATGTGTGTGTATAAAAGTAGGTGTCTGAGCATCCCCTCCTTGGCTTATTTACAATAAAACTGTACTGTAGTATATTTCTCACTGGAAACAGAATTATAGGAAATTGAATTTAATCTGTTCTGAGCTGAGAACTAATTTTGAAATTTTGATTGTCATTAAATACTTAAAATGAGATTGTTTTTCTGTGATTTACTTCTTCTTAAAATAAATTGCCAGGACTTCTAGACAATTAAGGATTTGATATATTTCTATTGCTCTCTGAAGCTTAAGCTCTACATTTTAAAACTGTGTGTCCCAGCTGGAAGTCAGTAACTGTATTGATCAGAATATTAACTAGGCCTTGGCGCCTTTTTATTATTTTTTAGTAATGCCACTTACCAAGTTTTACTTATGATTTATTTAGAACGTTTAAAAATAATTCTAGCAAAGTGGGGAGAGAGAAACCTTATCTAAGACTTACTATCAGTCATTTCTACCCCAGCCTGCCTTTGAGTCCCTTAAAGAAAATCCCATCCCGGTCCGTGTGCTCCATACACACTTCGTCACACTGACCTTTGTTTAATGAAACAGCAGTGGTCTGCAAGGCAAACCCTTTAGTGGGAATTCACGGTGCATTCATAAAGGGGGCTTTGTTTGGTTGGTTACATTGGAAAATGAGAGGGGTTTTGTTTTGCTTTTTATTTGAATTTGCAAAATCAGTACAAAACACTAAGTTATAACGTAGAATCTTAAAGTTTTACCATCTTGTTTTATTGCTTTAATTTCATTAACTTTCACATGTCCGACTAAAGGAACGAGGGGAACAGTATTACCCGCAGTGACTCAGGTCACAGGTTTAGAATTTCTCGGGTCCACACCAGCCCCCGATGCCTTCCCCGAGTGCGCTGCCTTTGGCTGTCAGTGACCAGTAGCTGGTGGCGGCAGTGTCACCCGCTCCGAGCTCATGCCTTACTAATTTTGTGTTTATCTCTCATCAGTGCTTCTCATAGTGGTCTCTGTCTGTACGGCTACTGGTGCCTGGAACTGGTTAATAGACCCCGAGACACAAAAGGTAGAAGTTTTGATTTAAAATCTTTAATACATTAAATGCGATACTGGCTGTAACAGTGCTTTGTTCATTGAAAGTGTTAGATGCTGCTGCCTGTTACTACTAACAGTGATATTAATCATCATGTTAAAAACATGCCTTACACTAATGTGCTGCAGGAAACCTCGGGCTGGCTATTGTGAATTACGTATCTTTACAGGGGAAAAGGCCTAAGAAACATAACTCCACGGTGATTCCTCCTCACTCATTTCTGAACTTGCGTGCAGCTTTCCGTGTCTCATCTGTCGCTATTTTTACGTCCCCGGGTAACATAGTCTTCGTTCTGCTTCAGTTCATGTCCTCGGGGCCAGCTTTCACGAATTACAAAACAACATTTTCTCCTGTGAGCTCCCTTTGTGAATACCTTTCCTCAGCCCATACAGCATTGAGGCGGCCTGGTAGGAAGCAAGTGATAAAATAGCACAATATAAATGTAATAAAAAGTCAAGACTAGAAATTAATTCGACTTGGAGGACAAAACCAGGAAGGATCCCAGGTCACTGATAGTGTAGCCATGTGCACCAGCACAGTTTCCAGAATTGAGTTACAGATTAGCCTCAGAGGCACCCAATCAATAAGGTCACAGCCAGTTCCACGGTTTTCATTGTCTGGGAAGATATACGTATAGGTTTCTTAGCTAGCAAAGCGTTTATTTCCTTAGCGTTTATCTCCAAAAAAAATTTCCTGCCTGAAGTTTAATATAGGAAACACTGAGAGAGCTCCCATTGGGCACTGCCGGGAGTATCCCTATACCAGTGCAATAACAGGGTTCATAATGTTATTTCTCGAAGCGTCCTTTGATGGAAGCTGGCAGCGTGCCTCTCAAATTCTGCCTCTTTCTACTAACCTGGCTCTTCATTTCCAGCTCGGGATTTTTTATTAGAGAAGCAGTCGTCTCCAATATATCAGTGAAGTCCGTCCGCCCGCCCCCCCCTTGCAGCTTTATTTATGTAATAATGTAAATTTATTTAAATTTATGTAAAGACGTTATTTATGTAAAAATGTATAATTTTCACAAATCTTAATCCCACTTCCCCATTATAAACTGGAATTAGGTCGCCCATTTCAGTAGGTGTATTTATGACCTTTTATACAGGAGAAAAGCCTGCTAGGAAGGCTTGTCAGCAGGCCGCGTGGCAGCTCAGGCAGCCGGGGTTCCTTAGCATGTAGTCTCCTGCCTGGATCCACTGGGGTGGGTTGTAATAAGCAGGGGAGGTTGGTGATGGAATTTTATGTTAATAGAGGGCTTTTGTGGCAGAATGGAAACTCTCCTGTGTGTTCATTTATAAAAACCCGATCTTAAGGCTGCACTTGGTACCCATCTGTAGGGGAAGAGTGAAGGAAGCTGCAAGAAGATTGAAAAAGGTCTGTCCTGGGAAATGAAGCCGACTTCTAATTGGGAAAAATACAAGCTGATTTTCAGCTAGTTGAGATCTTAATAAAACACAGAATTAAATGTAATTTGAAATCGGCCCAAAACTCTGTAGTTAATATGATTTTCTAAATTAGGTGAGAATGTGAGGATTAGCCTAAGGGTTGGCTCTGTATATTTTAGTATTTAATAAGCTCCAACCTGACAAGCCTTTTCAATAGCAATTGTGCCTGTGGCCCGAGATGCAGACGCAAAGCCAGTGGCTGGCCAGAGGGACGCGGGAGAGGGACCTGGCAAACCGGGAAACACGGGCCCCCGGATCTAGGGGACGCTGCTGCTTGGAGGCGGTCGGTTGTGGCCTCGGAGGCGAGAAGGCTGGCACCGGCTGATCTCATTAAAACGAAAGCACAAACGTCCGTGCTGACACCACGCAGGCAGAGAACAGCGGGCCCGTGGGGATCACTGGCCTCAGGTTGTGAGCAGACAGGCCTCGGGAATAGCGATCTTTCTTCGGGAGCTCATCCTTCTGGGAGCTTCGTCCTCCTGACGTTTCCAGCCTCTCTTGCTTCGTGTGACAAGTTTATTTAACTGGGACCATGCTAGGCCGCCTGCCAGGCGCTTTCATAAGTTCAGGCTTGTCCTGAATCCGGGGCGCACCTTGTGGTGTGCGGGGCACAGAGGCCCCGAGCTGGATGCCGTCGCTGCCCCTCACTTCCCGGTCCACTCGATTTCTGTTGCCAGACCCGATATCGGGCTTCTCTCCTTCCGCTGCTTCCCTGGCCCCCAGGAGTCCGGTTTCAGTGCCGGCTTGTTTTCCGAACGTGGCTCCTGGACGCCTGCCCCTCCACATGGTCTTAGTGTTGTGTGTGGTCCCGTTTTCTGCTATCGACTGAGGATCCAGATCTGACTCCCCCTTTTTTCCTGAACTCTGCTTCCTTACGGATAGCCGCCCGTTGTTTTTCCCTGCTGGAGGGTCCCGTGGCCATCGGAGTCTCGGTGGCTTCAAAAGCAAACGCACCGCTGCTGCAGGAGGAAGGGGAGGCTGGAGTTGGCTGTGGAGGATGTGCAGGGTTAGCCGGGTGGAGAGCAGGGGGAGGGCAGCGTGTGTGCCCGTGCGGCAGGGCGCCATTCCACGGGCCAGGCTGCGCTGGGCACAGTTTGCCCACGTCCCGCGGAAGCTGTTTAACAGGGAACTTCTTAACTAGATCGCGTGCGACTTGTGTTTTCACTGAGGTCCAGCCCTCTTCACTCCACAGGACTCGTGGCGCACGGGCTGCCTCGTGTTGGGAAAGCCCGCGCAGCACCGTGTCCGTCTCGGGACGGAGCGTGTGTGCTTTTCACCGGCCTCGCCCTGCGCCGGCTCAGTAGATAGTTGTGGGAGGGTGGCTTTTCATTACAGGAATGAATTTGTAGTGGTTCGGGTATTTGGAATGAATGGAGGGAATATTACTATATTGTCTTGCTGCATTGAAGCTATAAAACATACGTGTTTTCATTTTTGTTGCATAGACATACAGAGAACTGGCAGTACTGGCAGTCTTCAAATGCCCGCATCTTAGATGACTGAGATGGCACATATGTGTATGCATGAGTGGAGAGGTAGGACGGAATCTGTGTTGTTGGAGATTTTTAACATTTTTCTATGGCAAACCCTTCTTCCCAGGTGTCCTTCCTCACGTCCTTGTGGAATCACCCGTTTTTCACCATTAGCTGCATCACCCTGATCGGCCTGTTCTTTGCTGGGATTCACAAGAGGGTCGTCGCTCCCTCCATGTATCCTTTACACGCTGTTTGCTCGGAGCGAAGCCGAGGCGCCTTCTCGGCGAGTGGGGCGTCGTTAACGCCGCTTATAAATGACGGGTTTTCCTTTAACCACGATGTCAGTATCGCCGCGCGGTGTCGCACTATATTAGCAGAGTACAACATGTCTTGTGATGACGTAAGTATTCTCTTCATTTGAAAAGTACGGACATGTGAAAGGACCCTGTTTTTGCTTAAGTTAAACAAGCATTAACAATAATTGTCTCCATGGAATTAATAGTGGGAATATTCCTTATCGCATTGATTCTAAGACTTTTTAACTATTTCAGCCTCTGAAATTGAGATGTATTCAATCAGCAGTGTCTTACCATTAAATTGGTAGAACTGACAGTTTAATTTTTCTTGATGCAAAATCATGATGCATCTCTTCTCACATTCCAGCCGTTGGTTAACATTGTAACTTGAGGGCATTAAAGTTTACTGTCGGGAAAATAAAAGTTAAGTTCAGCTTTGAAAAAATTAATAAAAAGTAAAATTTACTGCTGGAAAAAGAGAAATGCTTTTGTCAGATACATCGATTTTTTTTGTGTGTTTTTTTTTAAATATATTTTATTGATTTTTTACAGAGAGGAAGGGAGAGAGATAGAGAGTCAGAAACATCGATGAGAGAGAAACATCGATCAGCTGCCTCCTGCACATCTACTGGGGATGTGCCCGCAACCCAGGTACATGCCCTTGACCGGAATCGAACCTGGGACCTTTCATTCCGCAGGCCGACGCTCTATCCACTGAGCCAAAGCGGTTCCGGCAGATACATCGTTTTATTCGTATTTTATGCACTGCGGTAAAGCACATAAATTAGTCCAATTACACTAATTTTATCTTATCCAGTTGATTGGCTGATTTTTAAGTAACCAGGGGACAGGGATACATCAAATAAAGATTGTACATGTGTGTTTTCACATAATAAAGACTTGGGAAGAAAGCTCCACACAGAGAAAACTCTGAAAGATAATTTCATTGCTTAATCTTGACTAAACATAGAGAGGTGTTCTAATACCCTTCAAGGGCCCTTTGAGGTTTATAGATAAACGGTGGTGTTTTTAACAGAACTGTGTATTTAAAAACTTAACTTTTTATTGTTACAGACAGGAAAACTGATTCTGAAACCCAGGCCTCATGTTCAGTGACAATCTGCAGTCACTGTGCCGGGACCTACAGCAGCCTTTCTTCGGAGAAGTGGCACAGCAGAGCCATCAGGGTCCCTGTGCCGTTGGATGTGGACGGTCAGAGCGACAGCCGACAGGACGTGTGCAATATTTACCCAGATAGCCTGACGGCGGGGCTCCCAGGACAGCGCTGGTACCGCGGGCTGTTTGCGTATCAGTATTAGTGTCACTTTAGTACTTCAGATCCTGCAGCGGTTGTTGCAGGTGAAGTATGTGTGTATGTTACTAAGTTAAACTTAGAAACAGAACCTCATCCAGTTTTTATAATGTATTTTTGCAAACTACTGTAAATAGCAAATCAATGCCAATGTCAAAGAGGAAAGCGTTATGTGGACTTGGTTCTCCTGCACCAGTATTTCAGGAGCGCCAGCTTGCCGCGTCCACGGCTCTTTGAAACCTACTGTGAGTGTGGCGGTGCCTGTCCTTCCACTCCTCTCGGTCAGAATGCGGGAAACCACCGAGTCGGGCGTGGACTGAGGAAAACTCATCTTCATTATGTTGCAAGAAATCACAGATGTTTTGAGAAACAGTTTTTGTTAAACCAGATAGCGAACTTCAGCCACTATGGGGGAGATACTTTCCTATTCATTGTTTTCATTTCATGCTAAATTTACTTTCTATCTTAAAAATAATTTTAAGAACACTCCAGAGGCTTCTGAAAATACCGGTTTAGTTATAAATTACGTATTGTCCGGGAATGTGATGGTTGTTGTTTTAGATAACTGGGATTTTATGCTGTGGTCGGCGTGCCGTTGCGCTAGGGTTGCAGTGTCCTTGGTCATCCAGTCCGCCACGGGGGAGCTGGGGGCGGCGCCACAAACGAGAGCGCCGTTCCCACTGTTTGGAGAGTGTTATTGGCATACTGTGTATGCATATTAGCCACATGTACTGTATAACTTAGAATTACAGTATTGGGGTTGCTGTAAATAGTTTAAAGAACTGGAGGTGCCTTTTACCTGTTTATTAGAAGATTTTGAGGTTTAAATTATTTCAAGAGCAATCTTTTAAATTTCATTTGACATAAAGCTGTAAATTCAGTAATAGGACAGACTTTTTAACCAGGCTACCATTTCATGAAACGTGTTCATCCTGGCTTTCATGTGCATCAGGTTTTATTCTTTGAGCTGTAGCAATAAAACCCTCTGCTCCTAAGAAGTCTTAAGAGGGTATTCTCTGTATTCTGCGTTGTTTTATTTTCTGTAAATTTTGTAGGTAAATATGTGCATAAAAATAAAGACTTTATATATAATCGGTGATTGGGCTTTTTCCTTGGTTTATTGTAACTCAGTACAGGCTAGCTCCAAATGAGATATTTTATTTTAATCCTGTTAGTAGAGCAAATTTCCAGTAGCACTTGTACATACCCCATTTATTCAGCTATAACTTTGTCTTCCTCATTGTCTAATAACATTTGGCTCTTAATCAGGAAGTGCAGGTTTTCTCAAACTTGCATTTCCAGCTTCCTGCAAGAGGATAAGTTGGACGTAGATAATAGTGTGGTAAAGGCCTGGGGAGCGAGTGGGAAGAGAAAGGTGGGGGTCAGTGGGGAGAAAAGGGGATATCTGTAATACTTTCAGCAGTAACGATTAAAAAGAGGAACTTGTTAGGTCCTTAGATCTTTCTGGAGTTATCAGCTACTTGGAGTATTTTGATTAAAGCCGTGCAACTTCTCCTCTAGAAAGATAGGCTGTGTTCATGCACACACTTTGCATGCATTTGGAGAGGATTTCCCAGGCTTCCTGGCACCAGCCTCCTTGGAGTCTCCAAGAAAGAAACTTTTGTAAAAGGTTTTTCACACTTTTACTTCTAGCAGAAAAATTCGTTTTCCAAGCAAACCTTGGCTCTGATTGAAATAGGCCCAAGGGTTGTTGCCAAGTTAGTTTCTCCTCACCACTGCCCTCACCCTCATACCTGCTTCCACACTACCAGGTGGGTATTAGTGGAGGCCAGTCCTCTGATTTCACAGGCGGGGCAGACAGCCTCAGGTTTTCAAAGTGACTTTAGATCCCAATAACTTTGTAAAGACAGAGGCAGCATCAGAACCCACGTCTCTGGACTCAGCTTGAAAGGATGTGTGAGTGTGTGCGTGTGTGTTGGACTTAATTCAGGAGCTGTTACAATGTTATGGTTAGGAACACGGCTACGCCAGGCTGGGTTTGAATCTCAGATCTGCTCCTTGCAACTTTCCTCATTTCTCCTGCGTAGATAAAATGCAGGGTGGGGCAAAAGGAAGTTTGCAGTTGTGAGCACGCAAAACACAGTTTTTCTTGTATTATTATTTATTATTGTATTATTTTCCATACAAATGACTGTAAACCTGCTTTTGTCCAACTCTGTATAGGGTTGGTCAGTCTCCCAGGTTTATATAGAGTATTAAACATGTTAATTCATGTAAAGCACTTGGCTACAAAGTCACTGCTTAGTAAATCTGTTAAATCCTAAAAGTGAAAAAAAAAAAAGACCCCACTGTTACAACCTTACCCAATGTCAGTATCTAAGTTGAAATCACCATGAGGGAATTCGGTCTGTATTTTGAACTAAGAAAACTTCTGAATAGTGGATTAAGTGCAAGAGAAAGGACATTCGCCTCTAATGTAGTGCTTATGTGCCAGTCTCTGTTCTTGGCACCTTTAACACTAACAATCCTATGACAACCGCATTAGGTATATTTTATTGATGTCTCCATTTCACTGATGAGGAAACTGAGGCAGGAAGATGAAGGAACTTCTTAAAGGAGTCCATTCTGAAATATTAGCTGGGATTTGTCTAAGTCAGGAGTTGTGCTAGGCACCAGGGACACTAAATCGTGGTTCATCCTTTTTGAGCACCTCCTGCACCTTAGGCTTGGTGTCAGGTGCTTTACATGATTTCATTTAAGCCTCACAATAACCTTGCTAGTTAGGTATCCTTAATCCCATTTGATTATTATGGAAAATAAATTTGATAATTTGGCGGGGTTCAGTCGCAATAAACCGCACCAGCTGGTGGGAGGTGCATCCCGTATTACCATTCAAATCCAGGCTCCTTCCCAGGAAATCCCACGGGACTCCGCCCCTCAGCCAGGCCCGGCCCCGCCCACCCCCTCTACGCATGCGCGCTCCTCGCGCAGCCCCTCCTCCCTCGCGCCGCGACGCGCGCCTGCGCAGTGCTTCCCATGTGGGCCCCGGCTGTCCGCCCGCCCAGGGGAGCCGCCGCGCGAACCGCCGCCTCGGCCAGGCCCTGCCACCAGCCGGGCAGCCGCCCCCGCCTCGCCGTTGCCGCCCCCTCTCGGTCTGCACGCCGCCATGGGCAAGAGCAGGACGAAGCGCTTCAAGAGACCTCAGTTCTCCCCTACCGGCGACTGTCAGGCCGAGTTGGCAGCGGCGGAGAACGGGACCGAGCTGGAGGAGGACGACGGGCCGGCGGCGGAGCTGCTGGAAAAGGTGGGACCCGGGCTCGCGGGCCCGAGGGGCGGAGCGGGGCGGGCGAGGGGCGCGGGCTGCGGCTCTCCTCTGACCCCGCTCCCTTCCGCAGCTCCAGCACCCGAGCGCCGAGGTCCGCGAGTGCGCGTGCGCCGGGCTGGCGCGGCTGGTGCAGCAGCGGCCGGTGCTCCCGGACCTGGCGCGCCGGGACGCCGTGCGCCGCCTCGGGCCGCTGCTGCTCGACCCCAGCCTGGCGGTGAGGGAGACGGCGGCCGGCGCGCTCAGGTGAGCGGGGAGGGCGGCCGGGGCGGGGCCTCGGGGCCGGGCGGCGCAGCTGTCCTGGGCAGCTGGAGGATTTGCAGAGGGAGGATTTGAACTCAGACCCCAGAGGCTCCATTTGCAGAGGGAGGATTTGAACTCAGACCCCAGAGGCTCCCCCCTGCCCAGCGTCCTCCCTCAGGGCCTAGCGCGCATTGTCCCCTCTCCGGAACCCTCCAGAGCGTCCTGAGAGTCAGGAAAGGCTCCCAGTACAAATGTGCCAGGGTTTCTGGGTGTAGGGGACTGTGATCAGGCAGCACATGGGGCGAGACAGTCGAGATCCCCGCCACCAGAGTGAGACGCGCTCTGGAGAAAACCCAGAGGAGGATGAGTTGGGGGTGAGACGTTACTTTAAAGTGGATGCCCTCTAGGTGACAGCTGCCAGGAACGTGGCCGGGGCGGGGGAGGAGCAGCAGAGAAGGGAGGCAGCAGAGGCCTTGGCACGGGTAAAGAATGGAGGTTGGTGTGGCTGAGTCGGGTAGGGGCGCGGTGTTATGGGAGAGGAGGCTGGAGAGATGGACAAGGGCTTGGGGGTGCGGGACCAAAGGACCTATTCGTTCTGAGCAGGAGTGACATGATCCAAATTACCTTTTCAAAAAGGCACTCTGGCGGCTGTGCAGCCAATGGACTGTAGAGGGGGCAAGAGTAGATGTTGGTGTTTGTAGTCCTTATAGCTCTGCCTCTATTTATTGTGTTTCATTCATTGGCTTCGCAGGTCAGGGGTGCCTCAGGGATGTCCTTCTCAGTAGGTTCCAAGACAGGGTCCCTTCACGTAAGATTAGGCTGTGACTTACTCACATTAAATAGGAAAAGTCTTTCCCCCTCCCATCCCTGTAGGCACGCACCTACGCGCTTCTCAGACGGACTTGTTGCATGACTAAGTCCTTTGTTTGCATCGTGTACGACAGTGGTCAGAACAGGTGGGAATCCAGGGATTGGTTCTGCAACATCTTATCAAAATAATAAGCAATTTCGTCTGGGAAACCTTAATGGTTAGAAATGGAAATACGTTGGAGGGCTTCATGGTGCTTTGTGGTGTGCTCTGAAAGTGACACGTGTCTTAAACTCCTCGTGTAGGAATCTCAGTGCTTGTGGAGGCTTTGAGGTTTGCGATGACATGGTGACGAAGGACATCATGACGCCGCTGGTCGCCCTGCTCCGGGAGGTATGCAGCTTCTACAGAATCCTGGGGGCAGTTGTCAGATGGAGCGTTGAGTATGCAAACGCAGGGTTTTTTGTGTGTTTTTGTTTTAGTCCTTGGGTGTTATGTTGTCTTCCCTCAAAACATCCTGTGGGAATTTTATTTCTTTTCCTGGAAGCACTGATCTCTCATCATCGTTGATAGCAGCCTCTAGTTTGTCCCCACTACCTTTATTTATATAATAGTTGGAAAAGACCTTCCCAAAACTATAGACAGACTCCTTTAGACTTTAAACTTCATACAACAAAATAATTAGCATTCCTTCTTTATGCACCAGGTGCTCTTTTATATATTGTTAAACCCTCACAGCAGTCCACTTGGCATCTGTAAAATATCTGGTTTTTGTTTGTTTTTTTTGCCTGAAAGATGACATTAAGTTCCCAGATTTAGTACCGTGCCAACTTTTTTTGCGTGATACGAGCTCCGGGATCAAGGCTCTCTCGCTGGCGTGCCTCTGGTCCACGGTGCTGTCCTGAGGGGTGATTTTCACTCGGTGCTCTCCAGGGTCATCCGGTTCTATGAGAGGCACCAGCCTGTTCCTTTGTAAAGCATGGTCCCACCAGGAGTGATTTGCCCCACAGGAGCCATCTTTGATGGTCACAGCTTGGGGGAGGGGCTGCTCCTGGCGGGCGGTGACCGAGGATGCTGCCAGACCTCCTCCAGTGCACATGTCAGCCCCACAGTAGAGACTCATCGGGCCTAAAACGCTGGCCGTGCCGAGGCGAGAGGCCCTGCTTTAGGGGACGCCGTGGATGCTGCTCGAGGCGCAGTACACAGGGTGGTCCCCTGCACCCGCTCTGCAGCCAGGATGCCTGGGTCTGAGTCCCAGCTGCACCACACACCACACTACCCCCTCAGCAGCTCTCAGAACCTCAGTTTCCTGCCGGTAGTGGAAGGCTGGACAGTGGTTCTTCTACTTCATGGGCTTGGGGTGCGGGCTGAGTGACTCCGTGTATGTGAGGTGCGTAGACTGGTGCCTTGCATTTAGAAGGTGCTGCGTGGATGTCAGACCTTACCGTGTGTTGGTTTTCTTTGCCTTGTTTACTGTCTTTATCACATTAGATTAAATACTTGGTATTGATTTTACATTTTTATTGTTTTGTTTGTTTTGTTAATCCTCACCTGAGGCAGGGGAGAGAGAGAAACATCGATGTGAGAAAGACACATCAGTTGGATGCTTCCCGCATGCACCCCGATGGGGGCAGGGATCCTGCAGCCCAAGTTCGTGCCCTTGACTGGGAATCGAACCCAAGACTCCTTGGTCCTCTTGCCAAAGGGGAGCAGGCTTGTGAACCACTGTAATTTCTGATGTTTAGATTTTGTGATTCTTCGCTGT